ATATATATACACACACACACACACACACACACACACACACAGTGCCTTGTATATATATTATGCATACTGTATATAGGATAGGGAACTTTATATTTTCTCTTATTTCTTTCTTTTAATTGGCTAAGAAATCAGATCCACTGTTGGAAAATAACTAATAAATGATTTGTTAATGTACTACAAACACTTTTTTTTTTTTTCATTTTTATCACATAATATGGCAGAATAGTTTCTGTAGCCTACTGTAATAAATGCTATGTCAAGTAGCACTGAATTGTTCATATACTTTATTTATTACCTGGAGATGATTTAAAAAAGCACAAATAAACCATATATTGTCGCAATCGTGTGTTTAATGTCTTCACGTTTCCAAAGGTTTCTGCCTTTTATTCAGATTATACAGTGATAGCTGGACGCTTTTGTCCATTAGGGCTGTCAAAAAAAATTTGAATTTCTCACGCCACTGAGAACAGTAGTTTTTACCGAGCAAACAGCAAAAATGGCGAGAAAGACCGTGGCAGCTGCCGTGGCATCTGGGGATGCCACCGGAAGTGGCGCTGCGACCTGCCTCTGCCAGAGAGAGCGCCAGCCCTTGCGGTTTATAATTAGATACTGATGAACTTTGGGCTTTTTGAACTGACTTCATGAGCATAATTAATCACACTGTGTCAAATGAATCACTAAATCGTTTTTGCACCTGTTTGGAAAAAGAAAAGATTTGTGAAAATGAGTAAGACTTCCTATCTCTACCACAAAAACCTCCTGATGAGGGGCAAGTTCAAGCTCAAACCGTTGTGCACCGTTTTGCTACGGTTTCCGGTTTGAACGACATGTTTCCTGGAAACGGTGTGCAATGGTGTTTGAGATGCGTTTTCTCTTGTTTGGTGGGTATGTCAAACATGTCAGCCATTCTGGAGGGCAAGGGCAGTGACTGTACCATCGAGCGTATTTTGCAGTATTAAACACGTATTTATACCGATTTCATCAGGCTCCGAAAATTCTTTCAAAAGAACACAAAGAATGGCCTTCTCAGCTGCCATAGTTGCAACTCTTGCGTCATCAGAACAGGGTGTTCAACGCACCACCGTTTCCGTTTAAAAAACGTTTTGCGTGGGGGCTGAACGCAGCCGAGGTTTGCATTGAGATTATTAATTGCTGGTTGTGAGATAATGCTTTATAACGTTACGTTATAATAGTCATCTGACTTCTGTGAATGTTTCATCAGCTTTTTGTAGACAGCCCACAGTTTGACCATCACACGTAGGCTGTGTGTCCAAACCTAGTGAGCTGTCTGCCTAGACAGCATTTGGGCTTCACAGGCGTGTTCGAATGTTCAGCCACAATGCTTCTGTCAAGGAACCACTTCCTTTTCACCTCCTGTTAGCATCTGTCCTCGGACACATTTATATATAGATCATGCGGAAGTCTAGGAGGCAGATCTTAGTGTAAGAGGAAATACTGGTACCCTGTTCATATACACCTAAACTGGACCTGTATTACTAGTGCAGGCTTACACTGTAATCAAATAACTGTAGTTAGCATCTATAATTCACTATATATGAGACTCTGTGAAACAGTTGACCATTGTCTTTACTTAACGATGCAAAGGTCCTCTGAAATGTCTCTTACTCTTCAGGATATGGTTAAATACAATGCAACATGTTACATGTTGTTACCTTTTATTTATTTTAATTCTTAAATTATGTGTATTATTAGACTGGTGAATCTTCTTGTTAACATTATTTATGTGGTGTAACTTTTGTACAAATGGCTGTATATCTCCTCTTCATCTTCTGCTGTGTTGTATTTTTTATGGTTATTTGCTACTTTTGTTATAGCAGCCTGTATGTTTAGAAGCACATTTATTTGAGATGGGTCATATTTTGTTAGATCTTAAAGGGGTCATATATGATGTTGCTAAAAAGAACATTATTTTCATGTGAATAATCCCGCCCACTCTAAAGCGGTACTAAACTGCAGTGGAACCCCAAACCGAGCCGTGCCGTGCCGTGCCGTACCGAGCCGAGTCGTACCACGCAGTGGAAAAGCGCCAAAAGAGTACTGTTTAAAGGTAGGCTACCAATCAATAGTTTGGGGTTATTCAGATTAATTAGATCTTTAGACCCAAACTTTTGAATGGCAGTGTGTATTCTGGGTTAAATACACATTGTAACTCTCTCTAAGATCTACAAGTTAAGCATGCTGTCATTACTACAGTAAATATTTAAACACCTGTTGCAGTGCGTATGAGCAAACAAGAAATGTGTGTACAGTTACCCCATACACTTCCATTGCAAGTGCATTCCTTTACACATTTTTTAAATGAACAATTGAAAAAATAACAATTTAAAAATAATATTCCTGAAATATTAAACTTTTATCTCACTTGTAATATGAATAATATGAAGATAAAAATAAATATAGAATCTACTGTGTTCCACACAATCTTCACAATACCTCGCAAATGACAAATGAATTTTTTTTCTTATAGTTTTGCTTGGGATTAGATTTATGAATAGCCTCTCACCTCTTGCATCTCTTCCCACACAGAATTGCCATACTTTTGATTTTTTATAAAGTATTACATTTCAGTGTAGTTTCTCCCCTTATTTATTTTAATGGAAAGGACAGTATGAAGTGTGACTTGCGATAATTGTGACAAAAACAGACAGTCAAAGTGCTCAGAGATTGTTTTTGGCAATGCCTTTTAGGCGTGTATGTTATTATTTTCGGGTGAAACAAATGAGAAAAATGTTTCTTTGGTTTCTTCTTGTTATGTGAGACATGCTTGTGGAATTTATTTGGTACAAAAAAAATCCTACATTAATGTTTTCTTTCTTTTCCTGCCAAATATGAGAGTATTAGTTACATCTAAACGCCTGCTTCATTGCAAACCATGCACAAAATGGGTTCATGCTTTTAATTATATTACAGTGTTTCTTTATTCTTGTCTTATAGGAATAATTACTGACTATGGTCCTGTTTCTCTTTTGTTCAGCTGTATCAGTGAGGAGCAGCTATGGCTGAAATCACCGCCCTCACTCCCTCCCCTCCCAGTATGGCCGACCAATCAGTGCCTGCTTCCTCCAGCCCACAGCCTCTCCCCTCAGAAACTCCCATCCCAAAATCATCTCTCTATGGGGACCGAGCCGTGATGGGAAACCCAACATTACCGATGAGCGGGGAAAACTCCTCTTCTTGGGAAAGCACACCTGGCCAAAACAGTGCCGCTCTGTCTTCAACAGCAACAGAGAGCGCCGCTGGTGCGCCGGTAGAGCTACCAGCTGCTACAGATGGAGAGACTAATGGGAAAAATGATTTAGTTGGCCAAACGGAGCAGCACACTGAAGCACAGGAGCAACAGATGTCGCCGTCGCCTGAACTTAATCCCAGTCCTAATCTCTATCCCAACGTTCAAGTTAACAAGACTTCCAGTCCTGCTCCCTCTGTGGACATTCCTCCTCAGTTTACACCTCCTGTTCCCGTCTCCAACCCGGCCCCCTCTTCACAAGACTCCAGGCAAACAGAAGCACAAATGGTCCCCCAGCCCGAGCCTGCCCAGAACCCCGAACCCAATTCTCCCAGCGCCGCCAAGATGACCCCTGAGCCCCCCTGCACACCCTCCAAGACTGAGTCCCCAACCGTGCTGGTGCAGGAGTCCAGTGGGTCCTTGGTTCTGCCCTCCGCTTACTCGCGACCAGCCCCGGACACGCTCAGCTACCTGGAGTCGGCCAGCCTAATGTCTGGCACGCTGGAGTCTCTGTCGGGCCTCGGCGAGGACGGCAGCTCGGTGGGGTCAGACTCAGAGATCAACGGTCCAGTGAGGGGTACTGATAAATATGGCTTCCTGGGGGGAGCGCGGTACAGTGAGGGCAGGTGGGTGTGTGTGTGTGTGTGTGTGTGTGTGTGAACTGAATGACACAAAACCACATTAGCACGTGCTATTTTTATTGTTTCCTTATAAGCACTCAGAGCGAAGAGAAACCACATTAGTTTATAAGAGCATTTGACATATTTCAGTATGTGTTACCAGGGTATAAATTTATCCTGCAAGCATATTAAACATTTTCTGCATTTGCGTTTCGACTGTACATGCTACTTAAAACGTCATTCTGAGATTAATGTAATATTTGAATGTAATTTTACTTAAAATTAATGTTACTTATCAAATTATAGTTCAAGTCAACAGGAAACCCTTCATAAACCATTTTACTTTCATAATCTGATGTGTTTTTAAATGTATCAGGATATTCATCTGAATATAGCAATGATTTGAATGCTGTTTTACAGTATTTGACCATTATGTGACCTAAAAACCAGACTAGTTTTGTGATCTTTCCTTGTTTTACAACTCTAATTTCTAGTTTAAACTTAAGTATCAAAAATAGTTTTAATGCCCGTTTCTTTCAAGAACAGTAACTATAAGGATAACTATAAAGATAACTATATAAGCATGCACATTAATGCACAACAGCGTTCTGCTTATTATAAATACATGTTGTCTGCCACTATAAATGCTCGTGCTCTTTAACCCTTTAACCCTCTTTAGCTGGATTCTGATTGGTCAATGTTTTTATTGCTCATCAGCTGGAAAAAGTACTTCTGAAAGTGCTCTTACAAACATCAATCCTCTGTCGTTATCATTTTCGTGATGGTGTTGACTTCCCTTTCTCGTTAAATTAGACTATTATTATGTTAATTAAACTTTATAGTTCTTCCTTGGTTGTGAACTGGCTTTAGGAATTAGTTCATTTTTATGAATTAGTTCAAACTTTCAGTTACAAAGGCAAAAATTAAAACTATACTTAATTTTCATGATTCACCTTCACTACAGATATTCTGAGAAATCTGTGTTTTTTCTATAATAAAAATAATATTTATTGAATGTTTTAGTAAAATAAAGTAGGTAAATATTTATATTTATTGTAGAAAGTTTATTAATTACAATTTAATACTGTTAATTTTGAGCAAAACAATGAGGGAACAAGCATTGATTGTTTTAAACTAGTGCTTTAGTGTTTGTAAGCCATGTTTGAGTGCATAAACATACTGAATATTGTCAGAAAAGTTTGAGAGATTTTGTTTAAATCACCCATCCCCATAAAGATTAAGAAACTATTTGATTGACTGTAATTGTGTTTAATGTTCATTATTTATATAATTGAAATTTTTATATGTATAGTTTAAATTGAAACTGATATATTTTGTATTATTTCATTATTCACATTCTAGGGTATGGCTCTAGTTCATTCCTTGGTTTGATAAATCAGAGTAAGCATTTATAATGGATGTGAATGGCAGAGTAATTGGCAGCACCTGATGTGAAGTGTGCTGTTAGGATATTAATTATCCATGCCTCCAACCGAGAGCAGGATAAGCATTTGGTGCAGTTTTCCTGTGTCCATCTCTCTTGCTCCCTCTCTGTGTCCTTCATGTGTTTGTTGTGAGTGACTCAGATCGAGCTGAGAGGGCTCGTCTGAGTCAGAGTGCACTGACTGTCTCACTTTTTGTCTCTCTCTCTTCCCCCGACTGTCTCCGCTTTATCTCTAGTACTGACTAATTCTGCTAAAATGGGCACCAACACTGTCGTTTACATTTGAACGTTTCCTTATTTTAATTCCTGTTCAGCATTAACTTAAACAGCACTAACCACCACATGCTTTTTCAGCTATTTAAAAATGGTCAATGTGGGTTAGTCTTAAATTAGACTTTCTCATAGTTTTCTGCTGTATTTGTTTGTAAGCCATTGTGTCAATCAGGCAAGTTCACAAGTACCTGATGAGGTTTCTCATCTGGTGAGGCTTCAAGGCTAAACAAATCTCAAAGACTATTTGCTAAAAGTCTCATATTTGCTACAGATTCATAAAAAAAAAAAAAATAATAATTTTATATGTATATATATATATATATATAATTATTTTCTATATTTAATAAAATATAGCATTGTAGGGTACTTGCTGTTTGTTCGTCAAACTGGTATGGAAATCAGATTTGTTACTTCATATCAGAAGATCAATATCTTTTTTACTACTACTTATCTATATAGTAAATAATAAATTATTAATACATTCAATACACCTAAACAGTGTAGCTATGTTTAGAGACATTATTTTCTGCTTGTAAGCCACTGACTTGTTCACAACGTTTTCAGATTTCTACTTTAGAATTCAAGTGAATGCTGACATTAACTTAAGTCAAGACTTTTTTTTTTTTGACTAAAAGATTCCCGAATAATGTAAATATTGACTCTGTGCTGCTATAAAAACTGTGTTCTGTGTGTCTAAGCATCTTTACCAGACTGAAATAGTGATATAGTGGCTTAATCATTAGTGTGAGTTTGAGGCAGGACTATCTTTATTTATTTTTTTTTGACCAATGATAGTCTAGAGTTTCTGTCATGATGAAACTTTATTATTTGTTCAATTCTGTTTGGTGGCACAGAAACGGCACACTTTGCCTTTAAGTAGGACTCAAATCCGAGCCTCAGTTTCTATCTCTGGTATCTCAGGTCACTTCTAGTCTGGTATCATTACTACTGTCCAGTGATATATGCTTGTTCATTTGGAAGACGTAATTTCTTTACAAGACTACAAAAACTCATTATTATTATTTCATTATTAGTTCACCAATAACAGAATATTTCAGGGTTTCTGATTAGTTTCAAGAGATTCAAAAGCAGTAATTGTCTGTATTTTACAGGGGTCTGTTCTCTCAGATTCAATATAAGCCTTTTGTCAGAAGCACAACATTATCTCAGAGCATGAGTGGGTGCTTATAGGTTTATTTGTTGTGTGTGGTTTGTGTGTTTGTGAATCCCTCTCTGTCTTGTAGTGAGGCGGAGCTCGCTGTGGCCGTGGCGAGGCAGAGAGAGATGAAATGGTTGGACATGTTCAGAAATTGGGACAAATGGGCATCTCACCGCTTTCAAAAGGTCTGTTTCTTACTTAAAGGGTCACGGAAGGCATTATAGAAAATACTGTGCCTGTGAATGTTTATAGTCACTGAGTTTTGTTTTCTTTGTGATGCAGGTGAAAATGCGCTGCAGGAAAGGAATCCCCTCCTCACTCAGAGCTAAAGCCTGGCAGCTGCTCTCCAACAGCCAGGAGCTCCTTGAGTCCAATCCTGGAAAGTTTGATGTACGGTCAGGTTTGATACGTCTTCTGTGAAGACAGTCATGGTGCTAAATCAACTACTCCCAAGTTCATATGCTGTTGCTGTAAAGACCGCTAACAACACTTTGTTAAACTGTCAAGAAAAATAGGCATACAATCTCAAGCCCTGTCTTACTTTTTAAATGTTCTTAGCATGTCTTGTAAATCTCAGTTTATCTGCTCAACACACTCTTCTTTTCTTATTTTACACTTTCTTACATTTGTTCACTTTTCTTGTCTCTCAGGAGTTGGAGCAAGAGCAGGGAGATCCGAAGTGGTTGGACATCATAGAGAAAGACTTGCACAGGCAGTTCCCATTCCACGAGATGTTTGCTGCTCGGGGAGGACATGGGTACATAAATACAGATGAGGGTTTTATCAAGGGGAAGGGTGATGGAAGGCTTTTCTTTAGAGCATTACACAATCTAGGAAACTGAAGGAGGGGATTTTTTTTCACTGCATAATGTGCATATTGATACCAGCTTTGCCCCTCAGTTTTATACCCCACCTCTGCTTCTCATTTTATCTATTATATATTGGGGAATATGTCTATACCCAATATCTAAGCAGGAAATGTCTCACCCAATTCAAACAGTATACTTAAAAAATAAATATAAGCAGTTCTTATTGTCCGATCTTTCATTAATTAGTTCCATTGTTATTTTTACCTAATGTGCGTGTGTTTGTTCAGGCAGCAGGACCTGTACCGTATACTGAAGGCCTACACAATCTATCGGCCAGATGAGGGCTACTGTCAGGCTCAGGCCCCAGTGGCAGCAGTGCTGCTCATGCACATGCCTGCTGAGGTAAGACAGAGTTGAACAAAGCTAAAAAGCTGTCTATGTTGCTCCGCTAGGCTGTTTTTCTTTCAAAAGAGCAACAGGGTGAAAAAAATGCGACTTAGAGGAATATCACAGGATATGAAGCCATCACCATCATCACTCCTTGTGTCCTGCGTGTCTGGGACATGTTCTTCTGTGAAGGTCAGTCATATACATTATAAAAAAAATAAAATAGTTCTGTTTGTGCTCAAATTCAACATGACTTCAAAATTGAATCTTTTTAATTCGTACGCTGCCTTGGTCTTGTGTCCTGCGTGTCTGGGACATGTTCTTCTGTGAAGGTCAGTCATATACATTATAAAAAAAATTAAATAGTTCTGTTTGTGCTCAAATTCAACATGACTTCAAAATTGAATCTTTTTAATTTCTTAATATACTGTTATTCTAAAATTTAGGGTTGGTGAAATTTATCAGTGGTTTTGAAAGAAATCTCTTATGCTTACCAAGGCTGCATTTATTTGATATGAAAATACTGTGAAATTGTATTATAATTTAAAATAACTGTTTTATATTTGAATGTGTTTTAAAATTAATTTTTTCCTAGAAATTAATTTATTAAAAATAGTTATTTCCTGTGATCCAAAGCTGAATTTTCAGGAGTCAGTACTTCAGTACTTCAGTCTTCAGTGTCACATGATCCAGCAGAAATCACTCTAATATGCTGTATTTCTGCACAATAAACATTTATTATTATTATTATCAATCTTGAAAACAGTTGTGCTGCTTAATATTTTTGTGGAAACAAGATTTTTTCAAGATTCTATGAAAAGAGGTAGAAAATAAAGAGAAGATATTTCAGAACCAAATTTAATTGAAATGGAATTTTGATGTTTAAGGTTTTTTTTAATTTTTTTTATTTATTTATTTTTTTTGTCAGGAGTGAAGATTGTGTTCAGGGTGGGTCTGGTGCTCCTCAAGCAGATGTTGGGGTCTGTGGATAAGCTCCGTGAGCTGCAGGGCATGTATGAGACCATGGAGCGACTGAGAAACATTCCTCCTGAAAATATCATGGAGGAAGTTTTGGTGCAAGAGGTACGCACACAATTGCGCTTTTATGAGAGAACACGCAATTCGACATGTGCTGGTATTCGGTAATGCGATATATCACGATAATGAATATGCACGATATTGTTATCGTGGGCACTTCAAAATACCGGGAATAATTATTTATTACAAATTATTCAGAATTTTGAATGCATTTTAAGAATACTTATCCTACCATCTGGTCAATACTATAGAATACTTATCCTACCATCTGGACAATGCACAACACCACTGTACGCTGCGTTAAAGATGCATGCGCTTTCTGATGTAAACAAGCACGGATGAGAAGCACATGGCGGAGCTCGTGAGAGATGCTCTGGATGAAAGCTCTCTGACAGCAGATGGCGCTAAACTGCAGAAATAATAATAATAATAATAATTCATTTAAATGCAGCCGTTACCCCGG